CCACTTAATGTCTGATGGAGAATCTGAATCTGTTCACGGAGCGCTTAGGTAGGGTAGGGCGTCTTCATTTGCGGCTATTATTCGCGGCTTAGGTGGATAATTCATTGGAGAGAATTGGCTATTTGACCACTATTGAAGAAAATCAGATCATCGATACATTTGAAACACTTAAGTTCCTTGACCACATTGCCGTAATTTAATTTTGCCAATTCCAGAAGAAAGTCTGACTTGAATAAAGAAACATACCAGCACTGAAGAGACACTTGGTGGCCAACGGGATGTCTTCAACTCGCCGGACGTTAACTCACATTCTGTCCCAGTGCTATCATGGTTCGCTTTAGTTTTTCCGAAGAGACACGTGTATTATTCCAAGGTCTCATCCATATCATCGTCCTCATGCTTGCAAACATCCAAAGCATCGTGAGTTCATAAGAAGCGATCTAACAGATAACAGTAACGATACTAAATATATATCGTATGCATGACTGTGTCTTCTGCATTGGGAATGGTATATTAACCTTTCATTGTTTTATGGAAATAATTACAATTCTTATGATGTATGAGTGTGCGTAGCACATTAATCCACGATGTACATTGTTGTATCAACGAAGAAAACGGATAGTTCACCATACCATAGTGCTGTGAAATATTTCAAACCCAATCAAGTTGATGCTGTTAGCAGTTTTCTTCCATGCACGCAAAAGTCACAAAATAGAATATGACAGTCGCCATCCCGCATCTTACACAAACAGCTGGGCTGTTCGTTTTGCCCCCCCTGGGGTGGTGGGGTAACCTAGTGGTTAAAGCGTTGGCTCGTCACGCCGAAGACCCGGGTTCGATTCCCCACATGGGTACAATGTGTGAAGCCCATTTCTGGTGTCCCCCCGCCGTAATATTGCTGGAATATTGCTAAACAGCGGCGTAAAACCATACTCACTCACTCACTCGTTTTGCCCCCAAATCTGCCACTATTGTATCTTATACACTGCATTACTTTGCACTTATTCTGCACGATAAACAACATGTGTTTGGTGGAAATGGTTTTAGCGATTCCGTCAGTGTCATACTGGTCACACTACATACTTTACACTTAAAGAGGTGGATACGTGAAAATATGTATTCAGTGATGGTAATGAACTGATTGGAAAAATGAAGTAGTAGGTGTAACATGGCAATCCTCCTCCACCGATGTTGGCGGTTTATTGTACGGGTATAAACAACCAATAAAGAAGACACGAATAGTAAAAAGCATGAACGCGTGATATGATTAGCAACGGGTTGTAACTCAACGATTAGTCACACGTTCGTTTACATGGTGAGGGATGGTCCGAATCATTCTCCCAATAGACCATGACAACAATTTGATATTCCAAAACGGGAAACCCAGTGTTTGTCGCGAAAGGTGTAATATAGTCTTCAACAATTAATCTTAAATATTGGCGGTTCGTAATTAGCTGCAACTCCAATGCTTCTTGACGAATAGAATAGGTGACACAAATAATATTACAAAGAAAGAAAAAAAGGCATATGACCATGTGCAATCATTGTGGAAATCCCAGTAATGGTGCAGTCTGTTACAGCTGGTCACTGTTCACAATAACACTTAGGTATGTATTTGCACCATCATCTGGAATCAGTGGGATGTTTCTAACACTGGACTTAAATAACATTATGTTGTTTATATTACCGTTTGATCCCAACCTCCTCTTAACAATCGGCTGCTCTATATGAATCAACAATGACGAATTTACTTTAAGTTACTGAATGTTTTATGTCTCATTTGCTGTGTTCTTTACTCTTCCAGACATCTCATCTGCAGTGATTATCAACTCCTTACAGCAATTTCTTGGCACCAATCGTCTACTCACCACGGCAGTGCTTTTGGGGTGATCGTCAACTTTTCTTTGCCTTTTATTTGCATTGATCGATAACTCTTCCTTACATTTCATTTTAAGGGTTATTCAACTTTTTCTTTGCATTTCATTTGCATCTCTACTCGGAATATTATTTGCAGTCATCAACTTATCTCAGTAATTGATTTGCACATGTCGTCAGGCTTTCTCTACTTTTCATTTATGTTCTGCCCAATTTTGAATTTTAATCGCAGTTATCATCAACTTCTCTCTACATTTCTCGGATCATCAGCCCATCTCATACATCATCATTATCAATACATCTCGACAATGATCGTCAGCTCTTCAAAATATCTTACTTATGCCTGTCAAGCTTTTGTGGGTATTTCGTTTGTATACGATTCTGGGTTAGTCATTGCAATAATCGCCAACTTACAATTATTCTAAAGTCATAATACAACAGAAGAAAGAGTTGTTAACACCGTACTTTTTAATTTATATGCAGAGATCATCAGTGAAAATCATGTGAGCGTTTCATCTACGTCATACTTAGCTATCGTGTGCTTTCATTTGTAGCAGATTTTCGATTCCTTATTAAGACAGAGGGATGAGTAGAAGACATGCGCAGGGAAGGACGTAAATTGTTTCATATTATTATAACTTCTTACAATTTGAAATGAAATGTTTCCTACACTTTGGTTATTGAACACTTTCTATTGATTGGGGTTAATTATGTTCATTTCCTACTGGCAGAGCATAAGTTGTTACCATCAGATTATTTGATTAGAATATAATGCGTATCGTTTCCTCAACCTATGTCATCAGGTTGGCGCTTCAATTTTGTATCTTACTGTATGAGCAAATTGCAATTGCTTAATGGCCATACGTTCATCCATCATGAGAGTTTGACCAAAGAAACCCTGCTCCATAGCTGATGCTATTCTGAACCAGACACAACTGCTGGCGTAATGGATCATCCGTTTAATAATGCTAGCACGGCTGATTAAACACAACTTGCTTTCCAATAATTGCCATGTGACGTTTGATGACTTTTGATTTAAGGTTTACGTTCATTGTCGGCCATTGATGAAGCACATAACATGTTTCGCAGAAACCAATTTCAGAAGAATCCCGAAACATCAGATTTCCTATAAGTAAGAGTTGTATGTTGTCATGATTAATAGCGCACCGAATTGAACTGAATGTAAAAACGCATCATTCAGTACCGTTGATTTTCCAGATGATACTTGAATTAAAAAATCTTTAGGTATCAACTCATTTTCCATTGACCACGTGTATTATATGCATACATGTTAAAACATGTTTTTAAAAAAAAAATTCACTAATGATTTGAAAAATATTTGTATTCAACCGTTAAGGACTCAAAGCACAGGTGTAATAACGATGGACAACATTGATTGAAGAACTGATTAATGAATTCGTTTCCATACTCACTTTGGTTTTTAGTTTTATCCTAAAATTAGTTAGGTTTCATATGTCCCCCAGTTAGAGGACCAGTTGCATTCTGGCCATCACGAAACTCAGGTCAATTTATGGTAACAGAAATGTGCATGAAAACGGTTCTCGTGGGCGTAATGTGAAAATGTTTAACTTGCCTCAACTTCTTTCTTCAGTCGTAATATTCATACATACATACTAATATTTGTATAGCGCCAATGTCCATCTCAGTTGCTCAAAGGAGCTTTTGCAACGATTCCGCAACAACATATCAACCAATCTGATATATTCATGACGGGAAAATACGACACCATTTGTGAAAACAAGGAAACATGATAAGAAGGTTTACAGATTTGTTGTGAGTGATTGGAGTTGTTGTGTCTCAGCGGCATTATTTCCGTCATCTAGCTACTCACGATTAGTAGCTGTGTTAAAAGTGTACATTTACAAGATTGAAAGTGTGAAAGCGTTAAGAAATGATTACCCCTTTTGCTTGGCATGACGTGATCTTGGGCATTGCTAGCGTTACTTATTTCAAAAATGTAAAGTTGCGGAATGCGATGGATTCCAGTACCTGGTGATGGGTCTGTGCATGTACAGGACAGTTACAAGTAGCCGTGTTGTATACCTCTAAGGAAGAGCAAAATGCCAGTGAGATGAGCACTTATTTTACTTGTGGTTGTATACTTAACGGTCTCAAGAGGACACTAAAAAGTTGGCATTGCTTGAGGCCAAACATACTGTGGTACATATGCATCAATAATCAATGTATCAGGTGGTGCCACAGTGGTCAATAGCTTGCAATGGTATCATGATTCAAGAGGAGTAAATTGATAACCAAGTGGTTGAGTCAGTCTATGTATTTACGGTTGGTGTCACATAACGTGCTGCAATACCTTGTGCAGCCTGTATCCTTTCGAAATGCCACACCACTGTCTGCCTAGGTCGAATCCGATTCGCCCTGTTTATGCTGCTATGTTTGACAGCACCATACCAACGCTCGTGTGTATGACCAACGTCGTATACATCGACGAACTGCAGAATCTCGGGTTTCCCTCCCTAATAAAACTGGTCAACACGCCACAACAGCACTGAAATACTGCGCAAAGCGGCGTTAAACTCACTCCCAAGATGAGCTACTGTACTTGTGGTGAAGATGACATGGTGTTTGGGGGCTTGGTTGATAAGATGTTAACTGGGAGTTTCTGGTAAGCTTGGTCCAAGACGTTAGTGCGGCTATAGTACACACACGTCGTTGCCTCATTAGTGTGTACAACAATGGCGTAGTTTTTAACCATCTCCAACCTTTCAAATTGTGATTAATATGTTTTACTCAGGGTTTTGCATTCACAAAATTACGAGGTCACCAAAAGAGTCAAGATAATATGATCCTTCACTGTTGCATTATATAGCTGGTTATTTTCTATTAATTTCTTATAACTTTATTAGTTTTTGTACCAATGCGCAACGCCATAAACGACGTTTTCAGAATAGATCTATGTTACTTTAGATATTAATGGAGGTACCACCTTCAGGTTGTGTCGTGGGTAATTAACTCCCCAACCCTCCCGGTTGTACAACACGCCCAGTATAATACTAAATTAGTGAAACAAGTAACAGTGAGAGTAAGAATGCAGTCAGTGTAAGCGACACGAAACGACTGTATTGATTTGGATCCAATTAACTCACCTTGCCGGAACTCTTGTCAACAGGCGCACAGGAGACAATGGCCCAAGAAAGCAGCAAAAGGGAAGAGACCCGAAAATATCGCTCCCACTCCATGATGACTACGTTGAGAGATCTTCTCCTTTACCCGTGCACGTCAGTGTCAGTATTTATGTAGTCTTGCCAATGATATATGTTAATGAGTTACACCCTCGTTACAAATGAACCGACCGGGCTTGTTTGCGAGACCACGCAAAGTCCAATGTGCCTTTTTATATACTTCCTTAGCACTTGAATGCCAGTCACAGCGGAAAATGGGAGGGGCTGAGAATCATTTAGTATTATGGGCTGGGTATACCAGGAGATTTGAGTGATTTGTTCCTGGGCAGAGTCTATCAATATTAGATTGTCCGGGTATCGAGCTGGCGACAGTGGATTGTTTCGGTTCGAGTATACGCACAGCCTCTGGATAAACATTTCGCAGATTGGCCGTGCAGGACAAATAGGGCTATAGGGATGCTGGTTTCGTGTGTTTTTGTCCAGACAAATGCTTGCCAGATGACCAGGTACTCTAATTTACTTTCGCTTGTTTATTGAGGCGATTACGTTATTAGAGTTGTGAATGAATAATGCTGCTGTTGTTAAGTCAACACACTCGGAACGGTCTTAGAACAGCTCGGGAATGAGAGAAATAGTGCCCGCTGGCACATCAATGAACTTAACCCTAGATGTTTCACGCACACATTAAACTGCCTTTCAAACAGACATACGATAACAATCAAATTACAATCCGTCCATTTCCATGATTTGATATATTCAAGAAACGTAACATCTTACAGCATCCACTGATGAATTTGTGTCTTAAACATATATTATCTGTGCACAATCCAGCTAATATATATTTCATGTTTGTTGTATCTGTGCGAATTATGCTGAACATATTCTATTTTAAAACAGAAGTCAACTTTGGTTTCTTAAAGAGTTAAACCTTAATGTAAGTCAATTGGAATATTTTGGCCATGTCTCTGTGCTCTACCAGGCTCAACAACGGCTAATTCTAATAGTCAAGTTTGCCGTCGGCTATTCTAGCGCGATGCTAATCTTGAAAATCCGCTTTAATAAACGCTCGTGACTTGAGTTGCAGATTTCTAAAATGGGAAATTAAGGAACTGTGTGCCGTTAAGCTAAGACATATTTTCTAAACAAAGACACAGAAAGAAACACCGCTACTAAATCAGTGTGTATGCTGAGCTTAAAATGTTCACGAAAAATATTGGAAAGAGAAATTTATGATGTGTTCGGACGCCTTTTAGAAATCTACCTGAAGCAGTTCTCTCTGCACAGCGGGCCACATACGGCAAATGTCCATGGACGTAATGCTGGTTTGAGTAATAGAAATAGCATTATTACATGGCGAGATGGAAACCAAGTTATTTATAATAGTTGCAATGGGTGTTGCCACGCGTCTCCTTTATTGAATATGGCCTCCGAATCTTGCAGTCTCTGGTTCCAATGAACGCTGATAAACTAGTATTGTGTTTGGTTGTTTATTTTACACTCACTTTACTAAATATAGTAACATTCTTTCTTGAGTAGACTTGATATAGATAGATCAAATATACTCAAGATAGACGTTACACCGATGTGTGTATATGTCTGTGTATATATATAAACTCTCATGTCATTAATAACTATGGTCTCTGTTGCGTTTTCCATCTTCAAATGCCTAACTCTTTCTCATCTAGTATGAAGTTGACAATTATATATTTTATTTATATCATTATATATTTTAAGTTTAATCCAAACTATTTACTCTGTTACTAAAGATTTACGTTGATAAGGTCTCCTTGGGAACTATGGTGTGTGTTAATAACCCGACAGATACCCACACCTGCTCACTAAGAACGATGTTGTGTATTAAATAACTCTGCACATAAACACACCGTCTCCTGGAAGAGTTATGTTGTGTGTTAAATGACCCGATAGATACCCTCACCGTCTCCTTGAGAACTATGTTGTGTGTTAAATAACCCGATAGATACCCTCACCGTCTCTTTGAGAACTATGTTGTGTGTTAAATAACCCGATAGATACCCTCACCGTCTCCTTGAGAACTATGTAGTGTGTTAAATAACCCGATAGATACACTCACCGTCTCCTTGAGAACTATGTAGTGTGTTAAATAACCCGATAGATACCCTCACCGTCTCCTTGAGAACTATGTTGTGTGTTAAATAACCCGATAGATACCCTCACCGTCTCCTTGAGAACTATGTAGTGTGTTAAATAACCCGATAGATACACTCACCGTCTCCTTGAGAACTATGTAGTGTGTTAAATAACCCGATAGATACACTCACCGTCTCCTCGGGAACTATGTTGTGTAATAAATAACCCGACACATACCCACACCGTCTCCTTGAGAACTATGTTGTGTGTTAAATAACCCGATAGATACCCTCACCGTCTCCTTGAGAACTATGTAGTGTGTTAAATAACCCGACACATACCCACACCGTCTCCTTGAGAACTATGTTGGTGTTACATAACCCGACACATACCCACACCGTCTCCTCGGGAACTATGTTGTGTGATAAATAACTCTGCACATACCCTCACCGTCTCCTCGGGAACTATGTTGTGTGTTAAATAACCCGATAGATACCCTCACCGTCTCTTTGAGAACTATGTTGTGTGTTAAATAACCCGATAGATACCCTCACCGTCTCCTTGAGAACTATGAAGTGTGTTAAATAACCCGATAGATACACTCACCATCTCCTTGAGAACTATGTAGTGTGTTAAATAACCCGATAGATACCCTCACCGTCTCCTCGGGAACTATGTTGTGTGTTAAATAACCCGATAGATACCCACACCGTCTCCTTGAGAACTATGTAGTGTGATAAATAACCCGACACATACCCACACCATCTCATTGAGAACTATGTTGTGTGTTAAATAACCCGATAAATACGCTCACCGTCTCCTTGAGAACTATGTAGTGTGTTAAATAACCCGACACATACCCACACCGTCTCCTTGAGAACTATGTTGTGTGTTAAATAACCCGATAGATACCCACACCGTCTCCTTGAGAACTATGTTGGTGTTACATAACCCGACACATACCCACACCGTCTCCTCGGGAACTATGTTGTGTGATAAATAACTCTGCACATACCCTCACCGTCTCCTCGGGAACTATGTTGTGTGTTAAATAACTCTGCACATACCCACACCGTCTCCTCGGGAACTATGTTCTGTGTTAAATAACCCGACACATACCCTCACCGTCTCCTTGAGAACTATGTTGTGTGTTAAATAACCAGACACATACCCTCACCGTCTCATTGAGAACTATGTTGTGTGTTACATAACCCGACAGATACCCTCACCGTCTCCCTTGAGAACTATGTTGTGTGTTACATAACCCGACACATACCCACACCGTCTCCTTGAGAACTATGTTGTGTGTTAGATAACCCGACACATACCCTCACCGTCTCCTTGAGAACTATGTTGTGTGTTACATAACCCGACACATACCCTCACCGTATCCTTGAGAACTATGTTGTGTGTTACATAACCCGACACATACCCACACCGTCTCATTGAGAATTATGTAGTGTGATAAATAACCCGACACATACCCACACCGTCTCATTGAGAACTATGTTGTGTGTTACATAACCCGACAGATACCCTCACCGTCTCATTGAGCTATGTTGTGTCTTCAATAACCCGACACATACCCTCACCGTCTCATTGAGAACTATGTTGTGTGTTACATAACCCGACACATACCCACACCGTCTCATTGAGAACTATGTAATGTGATAAATAACCCGACACATACCCACACCGTCTCATTAAGAACTATGTTGTGTGTTACATAACCCGACAGATACCCACATCGTCTCCTCGGGAACTATGTTGTGTGTTAAATAACCCGATAGATACCCTCACCGTCTCTTTGAGAACTATGTTGTGTGTTAAATAACCCGATAGATACACTCACCGTCTCCTTGAGAACTATGTAGTGTGTTAAATAACCCGATAGATACACTCACCGTCTCCTTGAGAACTATGTAGTGTGTTAAATAACCCGATAGATACCCTCACCGTCTCCTCGGGAACTATGTTGTGTGTTAAATAACCCGATAGATACCCACACCGTCTCCTTGAGAACTATGTAGTGTGATAAATAACCCGACACATACCCACACCATCTCATTGAGAACTATGTTGTGTGTTAAATAACCCGACAGATACGCTCACCGTCTCCTTGAGAACTATGTAGTGTGTTAAATAACCCGACACATACCCACACCGTCTCATTAAGAACTATGTTGTGTGTTACATAACCCGACAGATACCCACATCGTCTCCTCGGGAACTATGTTGTGTGTTAAATAACCCGATAGATACCCTCACCGTCTCTTTGAGAACTATGTTGTGTGTTAAATAACCCGATAGATACACTCACCGTCTCCTTGAGAACTATGTAGTGTGTTAAATAACCCGATAGATACACTCACCGTCTCCTTGAGAACTATGTAGTGTGTTAAATAACCCGATAGATACCCTCACCGTCTCCTCGGGAACTATGTTGTGTGTTAAATAACCCGATAGATACCCACACCGTCTCCTTGAGAACTATGTAGTGTGATAAATAACCCGACACATACCCACACCATCTCATTGAGAACTATGTTGTGTGTTAAATAACCCGACAGATACGCTCACCGTCTCCTTGAGAACTATGTAGTGTGTTAAATAACCCGACACATACCCACACCGTCTCCTTGAGAACTATGTTGTGTGTTAAATAACCCGATAGATACCCTCACCGTCTCCTTGAGAACTATGTTGGTGTTACATAACCCGACACATACCCACACCGTCTCCTCGGGAACTATGTTGTGTGATAAATAACTCTGCACATACCCTCACCGTCTCCTCGGGAACTATGTTGTGTGTTAAATAACTCTGCACATACCCACACCGTCTCCTCGGGAACTATGTTCTGTGTTAAATAACCCGACACATACCCTCACCGTCTCCTTGAGAACTATGTTGTGTGTTAAATAACCCGACACATACCCTCACCGTCTCATTGAGAACGACCCGTGAAGATCCGGGGTAGAATAGGTCTTCAGCAACCCATGGGCTTGCCATAACAAGGCGACTATCTTGTCGTAAGAGGCGACTAACGGGATCGGGTGGTCAGTTTCGCTGACTT